AATTTTTGCTTCCAGTAATAAAGTCTGTTCTCCGTTTTAAACCGCATGAGAAGTTGCATTCCTCGTCATAATAAAATCGAAATTGCTGTTCCGCATTTTTCAATGCGATAAAAGCTAATCTTCCATTTTATTTTTGCTGATGATGTTCAGCCATGTTTTCATATTATTTGGATTTTTCTCTCGGATATTTCGAGATATCCCATAATTTGAGCATTTCCGTGTTCTTGTTTACCTTCGTTCCTCCTCTCGACACGGCTAAATATTTTTTTCCGCGTTTTTCATCCGACTCATAACAGACAGCAGCTGCCGGAAGTGTCATACGCGAAAGCCGTCGACGTTTGGATGCTGGCTTGTCTAGTATTCGAAGCATCGTCCTTTCTGGAATTCTGCTTCGTCATTCAGTACGGGGAATTCCTCCGGCGCCAACTCGCAGCTTTGGCGAGGCAAAATCGCCCACAATTGGCTCAAGTCAACAATTGCGAGACTCGATTGGTGGACGGCGGGAACGCAAACAATTGCGAATCCGGAAGTGCTGGGGGAGGCAGGGAAGTGTTTTCCCTGGGCCGGAATAATGAAGGAATCGACAGCGACGCATTCCGGCGACAAAAACCGACAGGGACAGTCGCGACAGAGTTGCCAGCGCGCCATCATACGGCGTTGGACGAACTGCTGACGGACCGAATCGACAAGGCAGCGTTCGTCATATTTTCCTGTACTTTCATCGTGTTCAACTTTGTGTACTGGTCCATGTACCTGAGGCTGTTCTCTAGTGACATGATGGATCACATGTCAATCAGGGTCAAGGGGTGAAAGCGCCCCCTTTTCACGTCAATTTTTTCCTTCTTTTCTTTTTTTTAAATGTTCATCCCATGAGATTTCGGTTTTTGAATCCTGGAGATGCGATACCTCGGTGTTTTGATGTTCGATTGCCAGGAACGACTTATTATTGTTACCTGGATTTGATGTGAACTGTTCATGAGGATTATTTCTTCGATGAAGGCGTGTTCAATGATAAATTCTGTGTGCTGCTGTTTTTTCACCGGCGGCGAATTTCAAAGCAACATTGAAAATATCCTGCTCATTTTGAAATTGTTTTTTAAACCACGCAAAAATGTCACTGTCCTTTTTGCGAGAATCATATGTCCCCCCTTCATTTCCTCTACCACTTTTCGGTATTTTAAAATTAATTTACTTGCCAAAAGTGTCCTGGACATGGATTGACAGTTGTCTCGACAGTAAATTTGCACACAATGCTTCATATATCTAACCCTTCGTTATCGTGCCAATGCGATTCAACGTTAGGAAAACCAGCGTCCTTCTGTCTATATAGAGACAGAAATATGATGCCGTGGGAAATCAGAGAAATTTACCATGTACGCTTATTTATTCTTCTCTTATTTGTGCAGAATGAGAGGCCGGAAGTAGATATGAAAAGTAAAAAATCGGTCACAAAGTGAAATCCAAAAAATTAGAAGTAACTTGCCTCCCAGATAACCGTAAAATGATCCACAGGATGTTTCATCAGTTTTTTTTTTTTTTTAATTCCGTCTTTTGAACAAAGTTTTGCGTATTTTAAGTTTGAATTTTCTTGACAGCACATCCGCATCATTTTTTTATTTTTTTCGAAGTTGAAAAACAAGGTCAGAATGGGAAACGGTGGGCATTTTCGCAATTTGCTCGGATGATTACCAAATGATTTTTTAAGTGGATATAGTGAAAACTTACTGCAGTAGTCTGCTCATGTACGATCACCAGCATCATAATTTTTACGTAAGATTCTAGTGGGAAAATGCGCAAAATAAACTGATGAAGGTTCAATATGTTGCATAAAACGCATGCAATAGATTTGAGCAATTTTTTGGAAAGAGAAATATCCGCTCATTCTGACGTGAAATTAGTATTTGTCTAGCTGCGTACTGTGATGAAAACTTTGAAGAATGAGAAATAGCTGGTGAATTGCCTGAGTGTTGATGCATTTCCAAAATCTTCAATGTTTTAAGCATAAAACTGGTGCGATTTTTTCGACGAGCTTCAAGGTGTCTACATAAAGGGCTTGAATCGTATCGGCTTGTTGTAGGAAATTTAGGAAAGATTGTCTGACCCTGTGAAAAAATAAAAAAGGTTTATATCTTCGGTTTGAGCAAAGCTTACACGAATGGCCTTTGTGTAGGCTGATTTACATAAGTTAACACGGTTTAATAGACTACGAACGTGTTCTTTCCGTGTAAAGATATTATAAGAATTGCAAAATGCAAATGATTTCGGTGCCAGTGGGTACTCTCAGTTCCGAGACTTCGTTTTAAGAATTCGAAGACAGTATTTCTTAGAATTTGAAAGCATTCATTCTCCTTAATTTTTTGGGTTTTGATTTTTGAAAGATTTATGGAAATTCTTTTTTTTTTAATTATTATCCTTTTTCCATTTGATGTTTACGTCCTCGCTCGACGACAATTTGGATTCGTCTTTATCACTTTTTCGAATTGTTCTTGACCAATTTTTCATGTTTCTCTTCGCAGAAAATGTGTGAAGCCTGAAAATAAACGTTCTGTTGAATTCTGTCATGCCCGGTTCGCTCTGTTACGCTAAGAACTCAACTTTGTTGTAGAGTGACATCTATACTTCATACTAAAAATACAAGAAGTAAAGAAATGTTTCATGCACTTCAGTGACGCGGCAAACGGAATTCTGACCCGTAGCTTTCGATCATTCCTTGAATTTCGAATCGAAACCCCGTCTTGCTTCTTTGACAAAAGTTGCATTCCTTCCAGAAGTCATGCTTGACTTGACTTTGTTTTATTTGTTTCGGAAGGAGGATCATCCACTTCCGCAAATAAGAAAAAAACACGGTTTTCAATCGACGATGCAATTAGAAGCTGTACTGAACACATTGCGATGAGAAACGAATTCAAAAATGAAATTTCCTTCAGTTTATTCGAGAAGCTTTCTTCGATAGAAAACGAAGGACCTTGAAAAAATGAGTCACCCACTTCACAAGGAAGTATGTAAAAGCCGTGGAAAAATGCGTAGCCGCAGACGAGAGACTAAATTAATTGAACATCTTGGCCCACATTCCGCGATGCTCATAATATCAACGTAAAATATTTCCCCACTTCTGAACGTCTATAAGCGGTAACATCAACATCTTCTGACACTCGTGACGGGATCAATCGTCATTTTTGAACTTTCCGTTCAGGCTTTAATATTTTTTCTTGGAATTAAATCGCTATCAGGCCACAGGAGTACTTCTTTCTTCTTTTGCTCCTCATTCATAGCTTGCAAGGAAGAGCAAATACCTGCAGCAAATCGGGAAACCCGTTGCCATCCTGAATCCACTTCTATGCTAAGTCGACGCCCCCAGTGGCACTCACTTTAAGCTACAGCGCTAACACCTAAAGTTGTAGTCCCACCTAAAAGTGACGAAGCTTAGCGACGACCTTAGCAACCATAGGACAAAAACAGGTTTTCGTGTCAACTTTGGTAAGCCTGCGGTTTTCCGCGGCTTCGGCTTTTCTTCCTCTTTCTTCTTCCTCGGCCTGTGTGATATAATTGCCAGTAGGAAATATAGAGCACATTGCAGTACCGTATTTGCAATTGGAATGAAAAAATAACAATTTTCTGAGGGGAAACTCCAGGATTCCAGGTTGAACATTTTGTAAATTGGAAGCCTGACTCAACACGAAACTTGTTATCGTCTTCGTCAAGATTTTTATCCTGGCCCGCCCATATATACTGTGCTGTACTTTCTTCGATCGTACTTACTTGCTGCGGAAATTCGGAAAAGAAGATTCTCAATGATATTTCTCCACGAAACTGAGAAATTTCTTATCTTGAGGAGAAGAACATCAGTTCAACCAAAATTAAGAAGATCGTACATATTTTGCCTAACTTGTGTCATATGATGTCAGAAATTAAGAAAAAATCGCGAAGGTCGGAATCAGCAATTTCATCGAAAATTTGATCGTGAATTTTATTTTCCGAATCTCACGCAAAAACCGAATACTGTATATAAAAAATCCGAACAGCCAACATCGAAAATTTGCTTAGTTTACAAGGAGATGTGCGCATTTTGCGTGTCTAATTCATTTGCAAGCACAATTTTACTTTTCAAACTAATATTTCCAGAGCAAATCAAATGAACATAAAATTTCAAATAACTTGGGAAATTTATGCGTGGATTCAGATCCGCAAAAAAAAAAAAAAACGGTTGCTTCTGAGCTGCACAGGATTGCTAAATGAAGTACAGTACTGTAATTCTTACGGCGAATTTTTAAATCTACGATAAATCAAATATAATGTTTCTGAGTCCCGCAGAATTCGGCGCAGCACAAGTTTCAGCACAATCTCCTAAAAATTGTCGTAGTTCATCGCAATTTTGACTTCTAATGACACAGGCCGGAGTTCACCAACCCGTGGTCCGCAGAAGTTTTTTGCCGGTCCGCTGGATTTTCAGCATAAGCAGCTAATCAAGATCATGAAATCTGTACTCTTTACAAAAAATCTAGGAAGGACGATGGCATTTGCGATTATCTGATGAAGAGAAAAAACTGGCCTTTCTTCTATTAACACTTTAGACGCATTTTCACCTGCCGAAATAAATTATGTATTTATTTTTATTCTGAGAAACCTTTCTTCAAATCCACCTTTCTCATTTATTGATGATATTTAGCCATAGCTGCTTCATCTGTGCTTGACGGAGTTTTTGCAAAAAAAAGCAGATACTTGTAATTACCTGCCATAAAGTATTTCAAGCAAAACTTTTGAAAGTCTGTAAAAATTTATGAAACTTCGCCAGTCTACAGAAATTTGTTTGGGAATTTCCCGTTCCGTGGGCCCAAAAAGGTTGGGGTCTTGGGGAACACTTTCGACAAAGGCAATATAGAAATCAAACGCCACTTCTCACCGTTCTATTGGGATCAAGTACTGAAGAAGGAAAAGTTTGCTTCGTTGCTTCGTTTTATTTTTTGCACAAATTATAAAAATTTTGGAGAAAAATGCGAAATTTACTCAGTATTTTCAATCGGTGGCGGAGATCTCCGGGAAGAGCTTGGAGACTGACTTCGGCTAACACGGTGTGATCGTCTTGATAATGTTGCATCTGGAGTCCGAACTATTGGGATCTCAGAAACCGCACCCCGGATTTTCTCCAGCTGCCAATCCAGTTGCAGTGACTGGGCTTGGTATGCCTTTTTGCGGTCATTCAGGTGAAAAACTTCCTGAAGAAAATAGTAGGGTCATTTTATGATTGCATTTCATTGAATATTAGCCCGCTTTTTGGCCAAAGTTTGTGTTTATAATCGGATTGCGTCTCAATTATGCGTGATAAATGGCGTCATTCGTAGGTAACGGGTGTGATTCCTTCTACTGGTCAGTACAATATAAGACACTGAACAAAATATATGTTCTAAATGCAATAGCACACACTTTTACGATGATTTTTAGTTGAAAGAAACAACACTTATCGAAGCCTTGATTTATCTTGAAAATTGTTTAGGTGATTAATTTTGTATCTGAGGCAATATTAGAATCAACAAAACCTTGCGATTCTAAATAGACTGGATTGAATGAAAGTGCCGTCTTTCAGTTCATGGGATGTTTTCATTTTATAATGCTTCTCATTTTTATGAGAAGCATCGGCGACTCTTATTAAGTAGAATATAATGACAAAATCTCTGAAAAAAAGGAATACTGCCAAAAAAATTCCTTTATTTTGGAATTTGACTTGTGGATTATTCGAGCAGGGATTTTTGAAAAATAATTTGCAGTTGTTATGACAGGATTTGTTGCAACGAAATTTTGCCTTAATGACGTCTAATTTCCGAAATACAAATTCACAAGCCTTCTGCATAATACATATTTAGTTCAAGAACACAGAAATTGAAGACTTGATTTATGTTTAAATTGCTTTGGAGATCAACTTTGTAATTGAATCAAAATTAGAATCAGCAAAATCTTTTGAATCTAGTTACTTTGGATTTAATTAAAGTGCGTTTTGAAATCTGTGATTTTTTATTTTTATCGTCACAAAATCATCGGTGCTTCTCGGTAGTAAAATATTGTGATTACGACGAAGGCTAGAGAAATGAATGTTACGACGAAGAACAAATGTTATGCCGAAATTAGAACTGTGAATATTTGAGCAGAAATTTTTCTTTATTAATTTGCAGTGATATCTCATTTCTTATACCTGGATTTTTTCTAGCGCTATTTTATTTTAACAAAGTTATTCATTCAAACGAATGAATCATTTTCTTGTAAATGCATCTTAAATCAGAGCAATGCGAATAAATACCTTGGAACGTTGGTCGAGTTTCCATTCCGAATCTCGTAGAAGTCCACGCATGTGGTTTCTCTCACGCTCCAGTTCAGACTTCAAACGTGCCAAATCATACTGCAAATTGATTGGAAGGAGAAATCGATTGAAGGGATTGCACGAATTTTCTTTCTATTTCTCTAAAGCCTTCCTTATGGCATCTTAGGAGTTTGTTCGTTTGCCATTGGCATGAAGAATTCATTACAGTATATGACGGTCAGTATTTTACAATACAGTCTTTTTCTTAAACAAGACTTGATGCAGTAGAAGAAATTTGTGAAAATCGTTCAGGAGGGTTGGATAATGAAGTATTACGTGCAATCCCCTTCCATGCTGATCCTACATGAAACTAATCAGAGTTGGTTTATTTTATTTGATGTGAAATTTTTATTTTTGGATACCATCAAGAGACATGTGCATGCAGTGCTGTACAGTACTTGAAAACGTTCGATGAAGTCCTGTGAAGGTTACATATTGTGTAAAAAAAGAACTTATAGAATCACCTCTGCTGAAGTTTTTACAAGAGCGGAACAACATTTTTTCAATAAGAGGAATAGACCTGGAATAAAAAGATTAAAGAGTACTCGTGTGTTACTGGTTTTTGGCATTTATTCATGCTGAAAATAAGTAATTCTACACTTGATTATGCCGAGTAATTTTTCTGCGTTTATTGCCGAAAGTAATTTGATTTCTCTGTCGTCATAGAAAAACAGGATCCGCGTCTTGCGCAGACTTATACTCAGTTTCTGAACAACAAATTTTATACATTGTAAGTGCTTGTCCTAACACATTTCACAGTAGTATAGAAAATGTGGTACATAAATTCAATTTGGAACCGTTAGGTTTCTCCTGACTTTTATCAGCTTATTTAATAATTTTAATTTGTCTTATCTACTTTGATGATCAATCAACATTTCTCATCTATAATCGCGTGGTTCATAGTTCCATATGCACCGATCAGATACCATCAGTCACTTAGCAGTTCGCATTAATGAAATACAGTACTGTATAGTATATTACAGTACCAATATTTACCTCAGTGAACCGTGCCAGATCAAGATTTCGGGCATCCAATGTACCTGCTGTTGCGTTGCAAAAAATGTAAAAACGTTTTAATGCTCGCGATTTCAAGATTTCTAAAAAAAAATAGTTTTACTTACCTTCCGACAATAATTCCTGCTTCCTAGTGTATTCGTCTCGCAACCACTCGAACTGCTTTTCCAATAATTCGTTCAACTCCTTTTGAGCTTTGTAGCGAACTGTCCATTCGTTTCCTTGAAAAGAAAAATTTGAATGTCTTTGAATAAAGCTTCCATTTTCGAAGGCTAAGTGAAATACTGAGCAAGTCTACTTATTCAGATGGAGATTTACCTTCACTCCTCTCTTCGGCAGCCCTACGTATTTGATCCTCCAGCGGCACCATGGCTCTCTCCAGATCTTCGATGGTCCATTGCAATGAAGATCTGTGTTTGAAGAAGCATATACGAGACGTTCTTCCATTCCTTAGGCATATATTTTACTATTCTAGCGAGTTCAACTGAAATCTTGTTCATCGACATTCATGGGAAAGCAGGACGAAGTATGACTGGCTCATAGGTACCCGCGAAAAAATATCTGAACATTTGTGGAAAAAATTGTCTTCGCCCTGATTTGGGAAGAATAAATACCTGTAATACTTATTTTTCATCGAAGCTGTGAATTGATGGGAGCGAATCTTACTTCCTAGAGCGACAGCTTTGTGATGAGAATTGCTATGAACAATTGATTAGATGGCCAGTACTTCAGAGAATTTTCTTCTAAACAAGACGATAATTGATATTGTTCAAAAAATCTGTGAAAATCTTTCAGGAGAACTGCTGGATAATTGAGTATGTGCAATCCCCTTCCATGCTTATAGTACTTTGAACTGAATTGGAGTTGGTTCATTTTATTTTATCTGAAACTCGTATGTTAGGATACCAAAATCATGAGCAGTGCCGTAATGTCCTCGTAAAACTTCCAATGAATCCCTCTATCACCAGCGGAAGTACTCAAGCCTTTATTCGTTTTCACTTTTCTTCAGAGCCCGGAAAAAAATTTGAAAATTGACATTTTGGGGGAATGCAAGGGATCTTTTTTACGCAAGTGTTACTCGCGTAAATGCGTATTTCAAGCGTTTTTTAAAAATAAGGCTCGAAAATGGGTGCTGCGATTTACAGTAATTGGTAACTTTTTTCGACGTATTTCATTGAAATAAAAGACCATGCGAACAACAAGCTGCAACTTTTTTAAGGAAGCCAGTGACTAAGTGGGAAAATAGGAACTTGCCTCTGACTTCAGCATTCCGTCAATTCCTTTACAAAGCTGTTTAGGGCCAATATGCTTGCCAATTTCAACTTACCTTTAATTTTTTATTTTTCACCAAAAATACTTTTTCACTGATCAATTTAAATCCTCGATAAGTCCATGTTTTGCAGGTCCCTTGAAGTTCGATTTAAAGATGCTTGACTGCATTTCTTCTTCAAGAAGAATAAGAAACACTGAATTATAAAACAGCGCAGCATTTCTCCTCCTTTAATGAATTCATAATGCCAAACAAGCTAGATTTCCCTTTTTTTGCGCACAAAAAAATATCTTTAACCCACGGTCATAATGAAGGCAGCAAATCGTTTTACTGAGATTAAAAGTGAAAATGTTTGTCAAGGTATGATTTTTATAATACGGTTCCCATGAAGAGACTGATGAGACCCTGAGACAAATTTCAATGAAATTCTACGTACAACTGTACGTTTCATCAGGAAATGTGACGCAATGCTATGACGAAGATAATTTTTTTCTTTTCTGTGATGCATAAAATAGAGGAAGCCTAGCATCACAATGTGAAGCGCGAAGGTTTGATTTTCCGCTTCCCCTCCTAAATTAAAGCTTCATCAGTTTAGTTCAGTTATTTCTTCTTGTTTTTTCCTCACGGAGCTCACCTCAGCTTGCGTTCCTCTTCAATTTCTCGCAAGACTCGCTGTTCCTCCTCGTCCTGCAAAGCCGTGTAGTCCATGTCAAGTGGATTCGAGCAGCAACGGATTTCTCTCACGCACACAACTCAGCAACGGCCAAGTGACTCGGGTGGTCCCTCGTATGAGACCAGCACACAACTGCCACCTGACGACCGTTGTGAATCCCTGTTCACGCGTGAAGCACTTGCTGTGCCTGATGTGAGTCATTGATCCAACTAACAAACGCCCCGAACATTGCCTAGGCAACGGATCCGAACACAAGACTGGTGTGCTTCTCGGAACTTAGGCGGAGTGTATATTATAACTCTCAACCCAGGTGTCGCTCCTTTATTTTTAGATTGAAGTACTGAAACGCCTCTGTTCTTCGACGATGGTAATCACGTTGATGAGAACTATTATAATAAAGCATTCCACCTTTTTCATAACGAATGTCGAGCATAAAATGACTTCACTTCAATAAGCATTTTATGCGCATGAAGTTTATCTCTTGCATTTTTTAATCAAGAAGAGATATCTGGAATAAGAAGTACAGTATCGATCTTCAGAATCTGGCTATTCGAATGAATGTATACGAGTGCAGCAGTACTTGCAATTGCCATTCGGACGTTTTTGTTCCAATAATAACCAAAAGCCCACACAAGCAATCACCAGTAATTATTGATATAAAAACAGTATAATTATGATTTTATCTGAGAATCGCGTCTTTTTATGACCATTGCTTTATACTGTACTTCATTTGCTTTTAATGCAAGTCACGTGGATGGACCAGCAGAAAGAAGAATAATTTTCCGATCTCAAAGAAAATTGCACTCCGTTTTTCAATGTGGAATATAAGCGGACTCTCTCTCTATAACGATTTTGTCTACAAATATTTTAGAAGCATTGCACAGTGCTACGATTTTTTTTTTGTCCGATATACAAAGCGTAGGATTTTCTTTTCCTTTGTTACATGGGTTGCCAAAAAGAAAATTTCCCCTGCCGCAAATTTTTTTGCTCCGGTTATCTTGAACTTGGTTGTTGACAGACTCAGTCCACGTGTATACATATTTCGTGATGTTAGAAAATTTGTTCTGATGTGCTTTAGTTTTTCGTCGTAATTTCTATTTTTATTTATCCGGAGCATTCAAGCGGTGTATCCAGGTGGCTGCACATGTTGCACAGCTTGCATATTCTTGCTCTTCATCTTCATGGAAATATTCGCTGAGCTCAAGCATGTTCCGACAAATTAAACAGATTTCTCTTACAACATTTAAATAAGTCGTGAAAACAGGAGTTGTTCTAAATTAAAATAGCTTTGGCATTCATGAGATGCAGGACTTTCTCTAGAATGTGTTTAATTGCAATTTTGCATTTCTTCTGAGACAGAAGGCTATTTCATTGACGAGTTTGAAGACTTTGAATGCCTTTGATTGAGATTTTTTGTATACATCAGAAACTGAGTACCGTACGAAAAAAAAATTTTCATGCAACTTCCTGTGTAATTATGTAATGCGTTTTCCATATCGCAGAAAAGTTTTATTTCACTTTAAACCAAAACAATAAAATTCTTAAATTTCCCCAACATTTTACCGGAAGTTTCACGCAGCATCCCTCATTTTGCATGCGTGGCTCGATTTCAAGTAACGATTGCTGACGGAAAATATATCACTACTAGCTTTATGCTCTGGACTATGTTATTGCTCGAAGGTTTCGTATCGGCAGTTCAATTAATTTCAAAAACTTGCAAAATTCCATAATTTGAGCGTGAAGTGATCTAAAAATTATGAATATGAGATGCAATTTACGATGCATTCTTCTTTGTACGTCCAACTCCTTATGTAGGGAAACCCACCCAGAATTTTCAAAATGTATGACAAACAGAATGAGTACGACATTCTTAGTTCTTAGACCACATTTTCGTCTTACAAAGCTGAACGAGCTTTTCGACAACCAAAAATATTTAGCTGAAAAAACCGGACGCGATCCAAGCCACGGTGTCAAACTGTCATGCAGTCAACCTTCCCACAAGATATGAATAGATTCGTATCCTGCTTTGCGTAAGCTAATTGAAGTGACTGAAAGAGACCAACCGGTGTTGTCAGAGCCAGCTCAAGCCACACAGAAATAATCAAGTTTTACGTTATCTGGAATACGAGTACATGCTGGGCATGAAAAAAAAAAACCCCTGAAAACTATCCAAAATATGTACACTTGAACCACCTCAAGTTGAATTCCAAGGGACCAACAAAAAAATTTGACGTATTGAGGAAAATTCCATTTACTGCCTTGAAAAAAAGAAAAGAATATGTTTAGCAAGTTGAAATGAGTGATCTTTCTTGACCCAAAACTGCCTTTGAATGAAGTTGAAATATGAGGAAAGGGCTCATTTGCCAATTGTTCTTTCACTTAAAAAATGTCTTACTTATTGTTTATTTTATTTAAAAAGGAAAAAAGTGAAATTTTTTAGTTTTTTCTCTTTTCTGTGCCACAAAAATAATAGCCAAAATAAAATTTAAGAGGAAAAGCCTTTGAGCTAGGGAGGTGCTTAGTACTTCGTTTCAAAGGGAATCCATTCAGGCACTCAAAAGAAATTCAACATGGCATTATCAAGTCAAACTTCAAATGGCCATGAAACCAGCTGAATTAAAGAGATTTTGAGTTAGGGGAACATGCAATTTTGTAGGAGAAAAGGAAGAATTGCATGAAATTATAATTGGTGATATTCTGCGCCTTGAATGGCTTCCTGAATGAGTTGATAGGATGCTGAAGTTGAATGCAAGGGATTAATTGCCCAAGTATTACTGTATTTCACTTCCTTTCAAAACTCATCAAAAGTTAAATTTTCATTGCTTTTCTTTTTCCTGCATCAATAAAATAACAGCCAAAATTCCCCCAGAAAGTTTGTGTTATGGAGGTTCAAGGGGGAAAGCCTTCAACTTAGGGAGCTTTGCAATATCTTTTTTACAGGAATTTTGAACATAAACTTGAAAAAATTCAACATGAATTCTACACTGAGACCCCAAAATATGGACACCCTACAGAAAATTTGATTTGGGGACACTTCAAATGTTGAAAAATTAGACCAGACAAAATCTTAATGTGTGAACAATTTTCCCACATTTCTGGGAATATTTAAAATTGTTATTCCTCAAAATTTTGACATATCTTAAACAAATTGAGCTATTTATATTCATATAAGTCAAAAATTAATATTATTGAAAATTCACTGAAATTTATAATCAAAAAAGGTTAATTTTGTGGTTCATTTTTTGAGTACTCTCTGTCATCTGTGCACAGTATAGCATCATTTGTACTTTTTATTTGTTTTTTGGGAGCCCTTTAGATTCCAAAAGATCAAATTCTATATGTGGCTATCTTCTGCACAGTGACATTCCGTATCTTTTAGTTGAGAAACACATTTAATGAGATTTTTTGGCGTTTATTTCAAATAGTTGATGAACTGGAGGACCAATTAAATAAGTTACCATAGAAGTCTATGTAGGGAAAACAAGATCCAAGGTGTGAACATTTCAACATAGGGACATGGTCCCAACACTGATCATGTCTGCATCTCTCCTGGGTCTCATTGTAATGTATTTGACTCAGAGAGGTTTCAGTTATCAAGGTTCTGCTGCATTTGACTTTGGGAGGTTTGAGTTATCAAAGTTCAGCTGTAAATACTGTATGCTAATTATATTCACAGTCATAACAATGAGCTGCTGGTCCTCCTGACTCCTGTTAAAATTCCGGATGTCTCCCGTTTTCCGTTCTTCTTCTTCCTCCCCTCGCGTAATCAAGTTTTCCTTATTATCCTCACGCGGCCCACCTACCGACTGGTCCGCTTCGTGTGCGGTCTCCACCGAGCAGCACTTGAAACGATGTTGCTGGTAAGGATTCGCGACCGCCTGGGAGTTATCAAAGCAACGACCACCCATTTCCGCACTCGGTTTGAGGCGGCTCCGGTTTTGACGCCCCGACGCTTCCTGTCGTCAAAAAAACGGTATGCAAACAATGTTCAAGCCTGCTGCGCGCCGCATCATTTCTCGGTGGAGGAATAGATGAGAAATTCTGAAATGGACAAGAAACAATTTCTGCGGAAATGGTGTGCACATGATTCCATGCATACACGAGAACGGAAGTGAATGCCTGTGCTGATTAACGTTCTGACGTTTCCGTCATTTGTCGATAGAATGTGCTTTGAACTCAGGAATAGGATTTATTAACCACAGAAATAGGCACAGATGTCTAAAACTGGATTATTACAACAAACAACGCCAATGAATAATGCACGATATTGAGAAAATAAATTATTTTTAAAAAATCCATGCGATAATAAGTGCAGTAGAATCTCTTTCCAACGAATCTCGTCGGAACGAATCAATGCTTAAAAACAATTGGTTTCTCTGGTCCTTGTCATTTAGCCATGATGTAATTATAATTTCGTTTAAAAGAATCTAGTTTATACCGAAGTTTTTTCAAGGTCCAAAATAATTCGTCAAAGCGAGATTCTACTGTATCACGAACTAATAAACTAATCGAAAATGCGGATTGGAACAAGTTCATAATCGGTGGCACCATTGTGGACAATTTTATTTAGATCTTCCCTATGTTTCAAAAGACGACAACCTAATTAAACCGCAGCATAGGAGAGACATCAGAATTCAAGAGTGTCAAGCGGTAATGAGAAAAAATGCAAAACATTTTAAACGTTTTCATGTCAGCTCCTTGGCCCAGCAGCTCATTCAAGATACCCAGATTTTGATTCAAATCTTTGTAAACCCAAGCCAGATATTTTGCCACTTGTATATTAGTGAGTGAATCCCGTTCTTTAATATCGATATAACGTGAAAATAATTTGCCATCAAAATATCAAATTTACTTTCAGCACCATTTTTAAGAAACAACAGTTCCTTTTGACGTTCTTCATTGTGTTGAGCATTTCTGCCTTGTTTTTGTTTTTTCTATATTTAATTCCTATTGAACGCCTATGTTGAAGGTACAGTTGAACATTTACTTATTGGCTTTGAAGGGACTCAAAATTTTGTGAATCCCTTGGAACAATTTTTGGACTTCGTACCCATATTAATTTGTGTAGGTTAATTCGTTTATTGATTAAATCGATTGATATGGAATAATTATTGAAAGAGTGTATCATTATTTGAAGCCCTACCCTCAAGAAGTCACCTAACCCTTCGTCGAATGCATTTTAAATAATAATTTGCATCTTTCCTGGATTGGGTGTTTTAAAATTTAGCCAACGTGTAATAT